AAGAAGTCTCTACAGCAACAGAACAGGTCACTCTGCAGGGCCCCTCATGACTCGGGCGCTTTGCTGAGCACTGTGCACTCAGTAATGAATAGTACTTGATGTGTGCTCTCAAGGAAGCCACAACATGGTGGGAGAGCAGAGGTCTAAACAAGTAATTATCACAAGAGTTTTTAAGTATTATAGCATATAGTGGGGTATATGTATATCTAAGTGAGGGTATATTTAAGTCTGTGAGGAAAAGGCAAGGAGGTTGTGAGTGACAGGAAGCTCCATGAGTTGCCTTTTGAAGGACAGCAGTGAGCTTGGCAGGAAGATGAAGGAGAGGCTGGGGGCTATGTGGTTACCTGATGGTTTTGAGATGGAGTGAAGCAAATTTAGCTGTAGCTCAGTGGCCTTTGGAGGAATGCCTGGACTTGAGGCCAAGGGTAAATCCTTAACAGTCATTATCACTTAAGATAATATGGCTTGTGCACACTCTAAAAATTACTAAGGAATGTCAGGAAACTGAAACAGTGTTTAAAAAAAATCTTTGGACATTTAATAGGAAACATTGCCCTCTTGTATAGTGCTCTAAATATAGATCAATATGTGTTGTTTTTTAAATGTATATGTGTGTGTGTGTTTATGTGTGTACCCATCCATGAAGGCCAGAAAATAGTGTTGGATCTCCTAGAGTTGGAGTTCTTGTAAACCACCTGACCTGGGTGCTCAAATCAAACTGGGGACTTTGGGAAGAGCAGAAGTTTTTTTTTTTTTCTCTCTTTTTTTTGCTGATGCTTGGCAGCGCCTGAATATACCTCCAGTGGTACCTTGGGCTTCCAACAGTCCTCTTCCTCTGAGCTCCCCCGCCCTGAACGTGGCTTGTCTGGCTTGCATTCCAAATGTTTGAGATGACTCACTGAGCACAAGTGTTTGAGTTCAGTGAGGATGTTCGCTGGAGAGCGTCCAGATTTGCTGTGCTGCCCCTGCCATGTGGATTGTGCTTCTCACTTATGAGGGCTAGGTGCCGAGGGGGGCTATTGTCAATGTGTACAAGCAGAAGTCACCAACATCCTGAAGAATGGCACTGGGAGTAACTGGAGAGATGGCTCAGTGGCTCAGAGCACTGGCAGTCCTTCCAGAGGACCTGGGTTCAATACCCAGCACCTACATAGCAGCTCACAGTTATCTGTAACTCCAGTTCCAGGCTATCTGATACCAATGCACATAAAATAAAGTTAAATAAATTATTTTTTTTTAAAGAATGGAACTTGGGCCCGGTGGTGGTGGCACACGCTTTATTTCCAGCACTCAGGAGGCAAAGGGAGGCTGATCTCTGTGAATTCAAGGCCAGCATGATCTACAAGAGCTAGTTCCAGGACCGGAACAGCGAAGGTTACACAAAGAAACCCTGTCTTGAAAAACTCAATAAATAAATGAAGGAAGGAAAGAAGGAAGCAATGGGACTTAGGAGACCTAGACGACAAGTCCCTTTGTATTCTGTAGGTCAACTCAGCCCTAGGGCCAGGTTTGAGAAGAGTAAAAAGAGTTGCTGTCTGAGCAGGAAGAATATAATTTGCAACTCGCCCCTCCCTTTGTTGGCACCTACTTTACCATGTCCCTCAGTACCCATTATTCTGGAAACTTCTACTTAAGTGTTAATCACAACTGTTTGTGACCACTATATCTTTCTTCAAATGCTCCCAAGAGATACTCCTTTGTTTTGTCTGGCCTGTAGTCATCTGTGGTTCGGAGGGGTGTGAGTGTGTGCTATTGAGGATTTTTTATTTTGAGGGGCTTCTGGAAGGCATGTGATTTTAAAGCAACCATGATCAGTGTTGGCAGAGAAGTGGAGACACAGAATTATTTGCATACTGAGGATTATTTGAAGGAATGCTCACTGCCTGCCTATCCAACTCAGCATTTCCTATACTGGACGAGTGAGCTCCACCTGACTTACCTCTGATTTCTAAGTTTTCTGGAGTCGTTCTCTTCCTGGATTTCCAGTGTTGCTGCCATCATCATCACTATTATTGTTATTATTATTTTCTCTAGTATAACTGTTTCCTCCCTTCATTCCTCCCTTCCTTTCTTCATTATTTTATTTTTCAAGACGTCGTCTTCTGCTGATTCCCCTATTGATTTTGAACTTGCCATCGTCCTGCTTCAGACTCTCATGGGCTGAAATGGCAGGCCTACACCACAATGTCAGCCTGTTCTTCTTTTTGCCCAGAGTCCTTCTCTGCCCTTGAGAAAGAAGACTCTTTTCATTTCCTGCTTTGTTCTGTCCGGCAACTTGGAACTGATTTCTCAGCCCTAAGTGCAAATATCACTTCCTGAAGGCATCATAGATTCTACCTGTTCTCTGCTCCAGGCTCTAGAAAACAAAGGATTGTGACTGTCCTCTTCTGGGTTAGGCACACACAAGAATTTGTTATTTATGTCCATTAAACATAGAAGGTAGTTGCCTTGCGAAAGAAAGAATTAATAAAGGAAATAAACTTAGGTTTAGAGACCATGTCTCTTTTGAGGAACACAAGGGCATAGTTTCTTGGGGCATGCTGTGCCCCTGGTAGAGGTGAGGTGGTGATGTCTTGCCCCAGTGGACACAGTACATCAAGATTGAGGAAGTGTGATGTTTTGAAATGTAGCAGGGATTTCTGCTTGGAACGTAAGTGGTTGACTAAAAGCCATCGTTTTTCCTTCTTTTTGCTTCTGTCATCCTGTGGCCCCTTGTCTGTACCCTGAGATCTCAGTCATGGCAGAGCTGTTATGACCAGCAGCCCAGAACTGCTCGTTTCATTTCCAATTATTGTCCCATAAAGCCAGTGACTTGTTTAAGTGTGAGCCTAATACTGGCTTGATTATGATTTCAGATGTCATGTGCTTGTCATCCCACTCTTACGAGATGAGCCTAGATGTAAGTTTTGTTTTTCTGTGGCATGCTGTTTGTCTAAAAAGAGCATTAGTGGATGAGTCAAAATGGCAGGGGGAACTCAGAAAGATGGAGTAGGAAATAACTTTGCTTCTGTCTTACTCAAAGACGATACTGAGAATTCTTAGGGTTTTTTCAGTACCCAGTTTCAGGCAACCAGATAAAGGGGGGCAGTGTTGTTTCAGCTTATTTATTGTCATTAAAATAAGTAATTTAGTCACTGTGTATTGTACGTGAGGGACTCCATAAAGAAACTACCGAAATGGCCTCGTCTTGATTGGGGGTGGTGGTGGTGATCAGGTAGTGTGGATAAGAAAGAGAACAACCAGATGCATCTGGAAGAATCTAGAGCAGAAAGAAAAACAAAGTAGGCTGGGCATGACCAAGGGCTGTCTGCAAGGGAAGAGAGACCAGGGAGAGTCACAAGAGAATAGCGAGACTAGTAGTGTAAGGAGGGCAGTAGCTGAAGGGAAGAAAGCCCTGAGCTGTGGCAGGCCTCGGGTTCCTGGCCGAGAAAGAGGTGAGATGCTAGTGCTGGAGCTTTCAAACATCTAACAGGTACCTGTGAACAGGGACTGGGGGAGCCCAGAGGCGTGAACAGGGACGGGGGAGCCCAGAGGCTTGCCTGGACTTTGATATACAACCAAAGGCATATGCCAATGGAGAACCATATGTCCCTTCTGCCAGAGGCAAGGGAAGCAACTCTCTTGCAAATGTGAAACCCATTTCAAAAGTTCCTGAGGAATGTTGTCTTTTATTTAACCACCAAAAAAAAAATCCTTCTTCAGTCCAGCTTGACCTGAGGCGAAACTGTCTTTTTTGGACATTGTCACTTCCTGAGACGTAACATGTATGAAATGCTCTGTTGTCTAAGTGGAGGCTGTAAAGTCACTACCAGCTGGCATGTGTTTTCAAATCAGCAGTGCAGAATGAGCATGTGGTGTGGGACCTGAAGGGAGTGATTTGTAGAGGCCGGAATGTGGGCAGAGTGCATAGATAAATGCACGTAGGAAAAGCTGTGCAAGTGAGGCAGGGGAGGCCTTTGTAGGCTGGGAGAGTATTACAGGAGACCTAACGTGAGAGTAGCAGAATGCCCTTCTGTACTCCAGTGCAATGAAGGCATAGGAAGTGGAAAGGGAGCCCCAGGTAGAGCGCTATAGAAAGCATTCTTGGAGACAGGGTATTGGGGACTGAGTGTTGGCATCATATAAAATATGCGACTTGGGTCATCATTTGCTCTGCGGCTGATAAGGTAGTGTTGCTGAGTTAGAGGACAGAGCTGTCAAAACCATCTGGGATGTGCTTTGTGCTCTGCCCCAGAGTGGGGGCAATAGAAGAGGGAAAGAGGAGGGGAGGGGAGGAAGGGAGGGAACGAGAGGGAGAAAAAAATGAATATGAAAATGCCTGGATTCTCAGTAGGAAAAACAGAGAAATGTCTTGAGTATGGGCTAGTTGAGTATAGAGCCTGGAGGTATAAATTAGTGTATAACCACAAGCCACGTAACCAACAGCCCCAGTGGACACAAATTTGAAGCTTTGTTGAGCATTTCTTTAGGCAGCTGCTCCTCGCTAGACAAATGCCTGTTTTTGTTTTTTTTTTCTGGGTGGGATCAGAGTTTCCAAAGTTTGGTCCCATGATCACTCAGTCCCGTTGCCTTTGCTCCTGTGAGTCAGAAAGCAAGTCCAGGAGCATTGGCTGGAGAAGCTGTTCTCCTACAGCATCTGGGAAATAGAGACAGAGGCAGCGTCACATATTCCTTTTGCTGGCACACCCCCAGCCACCTAGCGACTTGGCTCCATTAGTACCAAGCTGAGGACCAAGCCTTAAACACAAAACCTGTTGGGCAGTGTCCGAGACGTAAGTGAAAGCAGCAGTTTAACAGAGAACACCAAACCAAATCAAACCAAACCAAAACAGAGGAACCCAATCAAACAAAGCCAATGTCTGCCTTCAAATACTGCCACCCAGTTCGTCAGTTTATGATTCTATTTGACAATGAGAATGTATCCCAAAGGCAGCCAGTTTAGATTACCCTGACCATTGCCTTCTGGTCTAACCCTGGTTTCCTTTGCCTGGATTCTGTAGGAACCTTCCGGCTAGCCTCTCTGTGCATGCTGTCAACCACCTGCAGAGGATTCTCCACGAAGCAGCCTGGGTGAGTCTTTTAAAATCTGTCTGATGATATTATTGTTCTCCTCTGAACCTGCAGTGGCTTCTTGCCTCATTAGGAATGTAAGCCAAAGCGCTAACAAGGGTCTTGTGGTCTGGCATGATACCAGCATTGTTGCGTCTGCCTCTGTTACTACCCACCTTGGTGACACCCTGCTGGCTACCCTTGCCAAGTGCTGTCCCTCACTCCCTGCTGTGCCCGTCCCACCCAGGGCCTCTGCACATCCTTTCCTTCATTGGGTCCCTTTATTTACAATGTCTTTAGATTTATGACCTAACTTTCACTTTCTTGTTTTAACATTACAGTCTTTGAGATTTGTAATTCTGCCTTTAGGACCTCCCGGTATCCAGACCATTTTCTTATGTCTGCTCTCAATGCCCCCTCCAAGAGGAAGTTCTGTGAGAGCCAGGGAGGTTCATGTCAGCATTGTCACTGTGGCATATAATGTGGGCAAAGCACGCGGGAAATGTTTGCTGCATGGATGCAGCAGATTCATTTAGCGGCTTCTCTTTGGTTGGACTTGTGAATTCCCTGAGCTCAGTCATCGGCAATTATCTCTATATTCAGATAGCGTCTCTGCTCAGTCTATGTTGGTTAGTGAATGGAATCTGAAGTTTGAAATCACAGCCTTTGGTTCTATGTAGTTCCAGAAAGTTTCCTTACTAAAAAGGCCGTTCAAGAAATGTTAGAGGAGACATGGTATGTTGCTGTGTGCCCATAATCCCAGCGTTTAGGAAGTGGAGGCAGGAGGATAAGAAGCTTAAGGTCATCCTAGAGTACATAGCAAGTCTGAGGCCAGTCTGGGTTATAAGAGTCCACGATTAAGAAAAATAAATACATGAAGCAAGTGATAGATCTGGGCCAACCTAAGATACTTAATGACAGTGTCTCAAAAGAAAAAAAAATTAAGAAAAATGGAAATAGAAAGAACTGATACTGGGGAAGGAGAGTAGGAGAATAATTCGGTTCAGTTAGCCGAGCTTCCACTGTGAACACCAGAATCCACACAGCAATTTGGCATCTCTTTCATCATTATTATTATGATTGTTAATTGGATGCTCTTTCAAAATTTGGACTGTAAGCTTGCAGCTGATGCCTTAGGAGATTATGCTGTCCAGGGTGCAGAAATTGCTGGGCCGACTGTAACTATTCATGGCCAATTAGGGAGCAGTGTTGGCAGGAAAATGGGGGCGGGTGCAGTTGTGCATTGTGGGAGTTCTTGTCGCTGTGGTTCATGTGCTGGGGATTAGCCGGCTGGGCTGCCTTCTGCAGCAGGACGTTGATTTGCCTACCTGAAGTCACTTTTACAAGTGAAAATAATAAGCAACCTTGAGGGATTTAACGTTGTGTGGAGAGGAAAGGGAGAACAAAGTGGAAAAATCACTTTTATTTGCCAGGCCTTGCTTGAGAGGCCTTCAGAAGGCTGCTTTTGTTTAATTTGGTATCAGTTTTCTTTCTTCCCAGGGGACAACCATGGCTTTTGAAAGAATGCATACAGAAAATCAGGCCGTCGGAGGCAGAAATGAATTTTGGAATGTTTCCAAAGTATAGAATTCCCCAGAGAAGTCGAGTTACTGCATTATAGTCTTGTCACAAAAGGGAGTGTCAATCACACAATATGCCTGCTGTCTCATTCCTGACAGCTGGTGGCCAGTTGTGATGGCTTATACTTTTACATGGAGTTTTTAAAGGATTTCAGATGGAAGGGAAATAACACGCACACACACACACACACACACACACACACACACACACGGTGTGTGGGATGGGAGGGACGGAGGGAGGAGGGAGAATGATAGAACAGTCTCTGGATATACCTTTCCTTAATTTTAGATTTTAGGGTTAAACTAATTCTTAGGATGTTTTGAATTTTCCTAGTGCTGAAAATTCTGTGCAGCCCTTGCTGTGACTAGGGGGCAAGGGGTTGCAAAGGATAGTTCAAATGAAATTCAGTCCTGGAGAGCAAGGCTGCATGTTTACACATCCAGGAGGTCCTAAGTCAAGTGCATGATGCCTGTTAGAGGCTGTTTAAGTTGGCAGCACCTATTCCGCCCTGAAAGCACCGAAAAGTACCGAGTGTGGTGTTCTGGAATCAGAGGACACACCAGGCTTTTCAGTTCTTACACGCCTTGTGTTGGCACTCATTTCCATCTGTCCCTTTAAACGATGACAGCTCCCTGGAGAACTGGAATAGGGAACTTTGTGTCCGAGGTGGAAGTAGAAGCATTTCTCCGGTGACCTCAGTGATGTGATACTCACTGGACTCCTAACGTCTTTCTTTGTGTGTCTTTCATGACATAGCCGGAGTCTGGGAATGAGCTCTTCAACTCAACAAATGACTTAAAGTATTTATCTCCAAAAAGTAAAAAGGTTTTGGTTTTTCCCCCCTTGATTAGGAAAATACTGGTCATATCCTGTTTTTGTTTTTTAAATGTCTTTTATGCTTTTGATAAGTGCCCTAACTTAAGAACGATAGGGCTGAACGGTGGCTAGGAGGGAGAAGAGCATACCACGCTCTCGTAGACGATCTCTGTGTTGTTCCAAGTCAGCAACCACCTTGGGTGGGCCACAACTGCCTGTAATTCTCCTTCCAAGGGACTCAGTGTCCTTTCTGGCCTCTGCAGATACTGCAATATATGTGTAGGCCTGCTTCGAGACAATATACATACATAATTAAAAATGAAACAAAATAAAATCTTTTACCAGTCTGGCTGTACATTGTTTCTAAATTCATAGAGGTCCCTGCGGCTGGCTGATAAAGCCATCAGGGGTCTATCCCACTTCATCTCCCCCTTCTTGTCTAGGGTTTGTAGCTACCTCCTGAGGGTGGGTAGAGAAGAGGCTAAAGATAGAACACTCAGAAACCTTGGTCATATTTATATTCAGTACCCATCTTACTTGTTCCTTTTCCCTCCCAACTGTTCTTTTCTCCCTTCGGCCACATACTTTCCCCCTTCATTATTGTTCATCTCTGCACCACCTACAAGGCCGCAAGCAAGGACCTTTCTCAATATGGAGTCAGCACCAAATGGTTGTGTTTGTAGTAGGAAGACATTAATGCTGGGTCAATTCTAGCAGGGGTGGGTCTTGCATCGTGGTCTGGAGGGTTCCAGTTAAGGCTTTGGAGAAACACTGTATCAACCAGTACATGAAGAATGAATGAGGTCAGTTTTGTATGTGACTAAGAGCTGGGGACTTTGCACAAGAAAATCCACATTGTAGAGGTCAAATTTTATGTTGGAGTTGTATTTCTGAACTTATTACAAATTTTGAGCTTCTGAAATTGAGTTATGACTGTCAAACTATAGTGGGGTGTTTCCATTTACCAGCTTGTATGGTGCCACCTTGTGGTCACTGAGAATGAGGGCGTTCAGTGTTTCTCAGCCCCAGCCAGCAGGAAAACCACAATGGTTGGAAGAACTTTGACATGTTGGAGGGGACTCCTGCTGATTCAGAGGAACGTGGAACCATCATTCCAGGTTCGCATCACATGTGACCAGCATCTGGAGAGTGTCTGAACAGAAGGTCCTGTCCCGTTTGCTGCGGTCAGCAGTAGTTGCAGATGCATAGTACACACGGGCTGGGAATCCAGGAGAGAGGGACTGAGGAGTCAGTCTGTGCCAGGCCAGCCAAGACAAATGAGAATATTGAAATTTTAAGATTTATTTATTTGAGCAGACAATTGCACTGCCTGAGGATTTTAGCTGATTGGTCATTCACCGTTAATTTCTATCATATGTGTTTATGAGCATAAGGTTTTGTGATGTCACGGTGCTTGTGGGGTAATTTTTGTTGTTTTTGTTTGGAAGGGACCATTAAACATCTTGTAAGAGAAATTGAAATGCGTAGTATATCCAGTAAGGAGGTTGGCCTAGATTTGGGCTGGGAGGCTGAGGGGTAATTTGATTGGGATCGAACTTGGAGGTCTGTGGTAAAAACACATTGTAGTGAAATACAGGTTAGACAAAGTTCAACCAATTTCTTTATCTTGGGACGTGAGAGCCCTGGAAGTGCTGATGCATTTAAAGTCCACGGGGTAATGCTCCTCCAAACTTCAATTCTGGAAACAACCCTTACAGGTGGGCTGAGTGCATGCTCAGGAACGCGCTCCGTTGCGGATTGCCATAGTAAGCTGCATAATGAGCAATCACAGAACTCAGGTGAAGGCAACCAAGCAAGCATCTGCGGGGAGTCAGCTGGAGAGCTGACTTAGCCGTGAAGAGTGCATGGCATACCTCTCCTGCAGAAGACTAGAGTGCAGTTTCTGGCACTCACATTAGGCAGTTCAAAACTGCCCTCACCCCTAGCCCGGGGCATCTGATGTCTGTGACTCCCACAGGCACTTACGTGGCACATATCCACATAGACACGCACATAGTTAAAAACAAAAATTAAAAAAAAATCACTCCAAAATATATCTGGGCATGATGGTGCATGTGTTTTAGCTCTCATGAAGCAGAGAGGCAGGAATTTGAGGCCAGCCTGGTCTACAGAGCAAGTTCCAGGACAACCAGAGCAACACAGAGAAATCCTGTTTCAAAACAAACTGAAAGCCTACTTGGACTTATTGATTTTATTTTGAGCACGAGTGTTTTGCCTGCATGTATGCATGTTGTACGTATGTCATGTGCCTGCCTACCTGGTGACGGGGTCGAATCTCCTTGAACTGGAATTACAGGTGGTCGTGAGCCACCATGTAGGTGCTGAGAATCAAAACTTGGTCATCTGAAAGAGCAATAAATGCTCTTAACTGCTGAACCATCTTTCCAGCTCTGAAAATATTTGAATTTTTTTTAAAGTGTCCCCATCTTAGATGTTTAGGGGTTGACCTGTGCTTCAGCTGGGCTTAGCTCACATCATCTGACAACTGTCTGCTGACCTCGTCTCGGTTGGCTTGTGTGCCCTGTGACTCGGCTATCTGTTGCTGGTGTAGGATGGCTTTAGCTAGTAAGACTGGAGTGACTTATTTCTGCAGTGTGTGTCCT